CCTGCCCACCCGGCTGGAGCTCTGGGGAGCTGGGGAGCAGTTTCCCAGCTGTGTGCAGGCCGGGTGGCTGCAGCCCGTGCACAGAGGCCTCGCCTGCGTCCGGGGGCTCAAGGCGGCAGCCCCGGCCTACGAGAAGAGCTCGGGCTGGGTTGGGCTGGGCTGGGAGCCGCGATCCTGGCAGCGCAGGGCCTCTTCTGACCAAGCCCACCCCGTAGGCGTTGGGGCAAAGGGGCCCGCGGCTCGCACTCTGCTCCAGGCTCCAGGGAGACTTACTCTTTAAAACAAGGACGGAAAAGCAAGAAGCCGTGCCGCTGGCCGAATGTTCCAGAAGCTTTTAACCAGTTCACCTGTTGTGGAACCATCAGAAGGAACGAAGGGTCGGAGCTCGGTTGATTCCAGGCCTGGAGGGGGCGCCCCTGTGTAGAAAACAACACTGCCTCAGCCTGGGGACTGGCCCTCTCTTCCCGCACGGCCACACCCATGGCGACACAGCCAGGTCCCCTGGGGCCCCAGCCATGCCCTCCCGACAAGGCCGTGGAATCACAGTGTGGAACCTTTCTTGTTTTAGGCCGTAGGGCCTGAGTACTGGCCAGAGAGAGGCAGAGTGAGGAGTCGCCTCCAGGGGTGATGGCCGTGCTCCAATCCCTTGTTTATTTTCCTTTCGGGAGTTTGGGTTCCAGGCATGTGCATGGTGTCATTTTCAAGCATCCAGACGGGGACTTGAACCGTGGTCGACCGTGTGGGAGTCTAGCTCCTTAACCACCACGCCAGCTGGCCCCAGTGTGAAACCTTTTGAGATGAGTGTCTTTCCACTTGGGGTTTGTCCAAGCTGAGGCATGTACCAGCAGTTTGTCTGTCGTCTTCGCTGCGTGGTCTCCTGTGCCGTGGAGGCCCCACAGGCTGCTTCCCCATAAGCACCGGCTCACTGGTGCCTCCAGTTGGGGTAGAGCTGCTAGAACATTCCTGCACGAGTTTGGGTGTGAGCAGAGCTTGGGTCCTCTAGGGTAGTGGCCAGGGGTGTGGTTGCTGGACCATGTAGTCCCAGTCTTAGTTCTTTTTTTTAGAGGGAGGTTTTCGCTGTAGGGCACATGTGCTCGCTGGAGAGACAGAGACAGGAAGTGAGAAATCACCCCCCAGGGTGGATGGCCACACCGCAATCCCTTCTCCTCCATTGGGATTTTGAGCACATATGCACATGCACCCCATATGAGTTCTAAGCTGCCAGGTCCAGGACTCAAACTACAATTGACTAGGTGGGAGTCCAGTGACATGATCACCGCACCATTTGTTGGTCCCCAATCTCAGTTCCTAAGAAGCTGTCAATCTCCTTTCCAGAGCGGCCGCCCACTTACATGCCCGTCAGCAATACCACCTGCGTCTGTCTCTCCACCAGCAGTTAGCGTTGTCTTTTTGTTTTGCATTTTTTCCAGAAAGTGCGTGTGCTCGCTACAGGAAGAGAGAGACGCGAGAAGCACCTCCTCGAGGGTGCCGCAGTCCCCTCCACCTCTCCCCTCCTGACCTTCTCTTTGGGCATGGATGCACCTGTGCCCAGCACGTTTCTCAAGCCTCCGGGTTTGGGACCTGGCCCGCAGTCGGCCCTCTGGGCTTAGCTGCCTTGCCCTCCACAGCGTGGCTGGCCCCATCTGGTTCTTATTTCAGTCGTTCTGACGGGGGCCAGGCTCTCTCGCCACAGCGTCACTTTGCGTTTCGCTGGTGGCTTGTGATGTCGAACATCCCCGTGTGTCTTGGCCCCCGTGTACCCTCCGTGGCGAAGGGACTCAGCCATTTCATCACTGGGTTCATTTTCCATTCTTGAGTTCTGAGAGTTCTTTATACATGTAGGCTGCCAGTCACTCGCAGTTGGCAAACTTTTCTCCCAGCATGCAGCTGCTTTCTTCATCCCCCTAACACAGTCTCGCGTAGAGAAAAAAATAATTTTGGTTAAGTCCAATGTGGAAAATTGCCTCTTTATGGACTGCAATTTGGTGTCAAGTTTAAGACTATTCACCCAATCCTAGAGCCTAAAATTGCTGTTTATTTCTAAACATTTTGTAGTTTTACCTTAAGCCTGTGTTTGTTCATTTGTGAGTAAGACGTGATCCGTAGCTGGAGGGCTTTGATTTGTCTCTGGATGTCCCCCAGCCCCCAAGCCCCCTGCTTAGGCAGACCGTCTTCCTACCTCGGGCTGCTTTTCGCTGTCGTGGGTCCGTTTCTGAGCCTGTGTTCAGTTTCACGATCCATGACGTCATAAACTGATTTCATGTAGCAGCTTCATCCACACCCATTTTAGGCGTGCAGTAAGTGTGCAAACCCCTCTCACCCTGGGCCTGGGGCAACCTCCCGACCCTGCATGGTCGTTTGCTGTACGGTTGGCCAGTTTGTCAGCCGTTTCAGCTGAGTGCCGGTCAGAGTAGAGAAGTAACAGTGACGAGGTGGAGTGCAGGCCCAGCCTCCGCGGAGCAGCAGGTAGCACACCTACTGCAGAGCTGGAAGCCACATCCCTGCTGTGGTTCAAGACCCCAGCCCGGCCGGCCTGAAAACAGACCTGGTGGGTTCACGGGACCCTCTGGGCTGGAAGATGGGAGGACGGGGATCGTGGTGTGACCGGACCCAGTGGCAGTGCTCTTTCTCTCTCGCTCTCTGTCTATACTCGCACACACTCTGTCGTGACAGCTACACTGCTGTAAAGCCAAGGTCATTCTGGGGTGGCAGAATGCTGGACAACGTACAGGAGGAAAAAGGCAAATAGACAGCCAGCAGGTGATGTGACAGTTAAGGCACTGGACTCCCATATGGCTGACCACGGTTCAAGCCCTGGACCTGGCAGTTGGAAAATCACACTAGGAGTGTGTGCATATGTGCTCCAAATCCCGGGACAGAAACAGAGAAGGAATTGTGGTGTGGCCACCCCCTCCAAGTGATCTCTCACCTTCCCTCTCTCTGTCCTGGCTCTCTTGGGCAAGTGCACATGGCCTATGACAAAAACCTACCAAAGAGAAAAGGCAAATGATTTAAAATATAATCCAAGAAGTTGGATACCGTAACCTTACCGGGAAGAAGATAGCACTTTTTCTTTTTTTTTGAGAGATTTTTGCTACAGGGCGCATGTGCTTGCTGGGGAGAAGAGACAGAGAGGCAGAAAGTGAGAAAGCACCCACGGGTGACTGCCGTCGCTATATTCCTCCCTCCATTCTTCCAGGATCTTGGGCACACACGCACACGTGCCCAGTGTGAGTTTCAAGCCTCCAGGCCTGGGACTTGAACCGTGGTCAGTCCTGTGGGAGTCTGGCGACATAACCACCACACCGTCTGCTTGTCCCGCTTTTCCTAATTTTAAATAGGGGTTATTCTCGCATTCTAGTAGCATTAGTTTGCTAAATGCAAAAAGGTAAAGACGAAGAAAAAACCAGGCACCTTCACCTTGGCTGTCCTGAGGGAGCTGTTTGTGAGGGGTGTGTCTTTTTGGTTTTCTATCGTATGCATGTAATTTATATGTACGAGGGGTTTTCAAAAAGTTCACGGAAATGCATATTATTAAAAAACCTATGCATTAATTTCAAAATTGCACCAAAATAAACTCAGATTTTAATTCCATTTTTTCCACTAACTTACTTATGGCTGTCGGGAAGGTCGCGATGCATTTATGCGTCCTAATGAGCACGTGTGTATAAAGGCAGCGTGGCCTTCCCGACAGCCAGCATGTCACGCACACACCGGAGCACCAGGCAGCCCCTCCGTGGCCCTAACGTGTCTCCGCGCCAGGACGCCCCTGGGTCCCTCGTGGTTGCACAGTGTTTTCCACTGTGCACACATGTTTCCCTCCCTGAGGTCCTCGCCGGTGTGAAGTGGCTGACATGTACCCTCGGGGACAGCAGGCACTGTTTCCGTGTGGCATTGGAATGCAGGGTACTGGAGGGCCGAGTTATCAGCACCTGCTCCGTAGTCCGGAGCCTTCAAGGTAGCAGCCATACTCCGGCTGGCGTTCCCTTGACTGTGTGTTTCTGGCTGACGCAGAGAGAAGCCGGCCTGCAGGACATGCATTTGGAGAGCAAGCACGGCGGGCCGGGCTCCAGGGTGCTGGAGGTGGAGCTGCACCAGACGTCTGCGCCAGCGTGGGCCAGCCCTGGAGGGCCACCACGCGGGGGACCAGCCGCCAGCACAGGCAGCAGCAGCAGGCCGCAGGGAGTGAACGGGCCAGACTTCCGGAGTGCCCGCCCCAGCCGGGCTGCTGGGCCCAGCTGCTGGGCTCCAGAGAGCCAGGCTTCCGGCGCCTTGCTCACGGAGCGCAGGTGAGTCTAGGAGCTTTGTCTTCGCAGTCGTCATCTGGAACAAACGGGACGGTCCCGGTAGGTCCTGAGGCAGCTCGGCACACACCGGGCGTCCACGCTGGTGAGCCAGGTTGGCTGAGGCACCTAGACCCCGCGTGACCGCTGTGGCCGGCCTCTTCTCACTTCCAGAGGTATGGCTCGGTGGACTCTTCATATCAATGGTTGTATTCGTGTGTGTGTGTGTGTGTGTGTGTGTGTGTGTGTGTGTGTTTTTCTTCTTTTTTTTTGATTTTCACTGTAGGGCGCGTGCGCTCGCCAGACAGACAGAGAGAGACATAGAGACAGAAAGCGAGAAATCACCCCCCAGGGGGGATGGTCACGCCGCAATCCCTTCTCCTCCATTCTCCTCTCTGGATCTTGGGCACGCACGCACACTGGCCCGGCGTGAGTTTTAAGCCACTGGGTCCAGGACACGAACCGCGGTCGACTACGTGGGAGTCCAGCGACATAGCCATTACGCTAACTGCTGGTTCCCTCGTGTGTGTGTTTTTGACATCATTTTTTCCTCCGGAACCTTTTAAAAAAATAATAATTTAATTTTATTCACTGTTATCATTTGTTAATTTGACCAGAGAGAAAGAGAGAGGGCACGTGAGACAGCAAGCTGCAAAGTCCGGGATTTGAACCATGGTCAGCCATGCGGGAGTCCAGCACCTTAACCACCACACCATCTGCTGGGCCCTTTGACATCACTGTTAGGAATACTTGTTCTTTGTAATGTCGGTATTTTCCCGTTTTCTAGACGTTTTCAATGTTGTTGGCTTTTAGGTTTAGCCGTCTTGTGTACCTGAGGTTTGTTCATTTCCTTTCAAGTCTCACGTCTTCCTTCCCCAGTCGGAGCCCTGTGTCTCTTGACGGCCGTCGCTGTTAGGTGTGGAGTGTGCGTGTACTCATGGCGCTCCTGGGGGTGGCAGCCTGGCCCCAGACTCTCCAGGGAGGATTGATCCAGGGCTGAGTCTGGGGACGAGCTGGGCTGGAGACCTTCCCTGAGTGTCTGCCACAGTAACTCCGCCGCAGAGCACAAAGGCAAACCTGCAAGCCTACCGCAGGGTGGGGAGCTGGGTAGCCTGCCTGGAGGAGGGGCCTCTCTGACTGCCTGTGCCCCCCTGCCTCTCATCCTCACCCCGGCCAGCCCTGCAGGGCTCCATGGTCTCAGGTGAGGAGTGCAGGGCACAAGCTCATTCACGTGTTCGTCCCTGGCAGTCCGCTCACATCCCAGAGCAGACTTGAGTCCGAGCGGCATCCCGTGTTCTTCCAGGGTCACCCCAGAGAACACAGAATGCCAGTGAATTCGAACTTGAGATTGGCAATGATTATGTGGGAGAACTCCACAAAAATTGCTGTACTTAGGGACCCGCAGTTAGCGTAATGGCTACGTCGCTGGACTCCCACGTAGTTGACCGTGGTTCGAGTCTCGGACCCGGTGGCTTAAAACTCACGCCGGGCGCGTGTGCGTGCGTGCGTGCCCAAGATCCTGAGAGGAGAATGGAGGAGAAGGGATTGCGGCGTGACCATCCCCCCTGGGGGGTGATTTCTTGCTTTCTGTCTCTATGTCTCTCTCTGTCTGTCTGGCGAGCGCACGCGCCCTACGGTGAAAATCTCTCAAAACAAAAACAAAAACAAAAACAAAAAACCTCACACTGGGCGCATGTGCGTGTGTGTGCGTGCCCAAGATCCCGAGAGGAGAATGGAGGAAAAGAGATTGCGGCGTGACCATCCCCCCTGGGGGGGTGATTTCTCGCTTTCTGTCTCTCTGTCTCTGTCTGTCTGGCGAGCGCACACGCCCTATAGCAAAAACCTCTCTCTCAAAAAAAATTGCTGTACTTTCACACCCACTAGCGGCGGCTATTACAATTAAAAGGAGACAAAAGCAGATGTCTGTGAGGATGAAGAGAAATTTGACCCCATGCACTGTTGGAGGGTGTGAAGGGGTGGTACAGCCATGGTGGAAGATAGGTTCCTAAAAACATTTAGAGATAGAATTGCTGTATTATCCTGCATTTCTCTTCTGGGCGTATACCCGAAAGAACTGAAAATGGGATGTGATGTTTGAATATTTGTGTCCTCTTCAAAATTCATTTTGGAACTTAAACCCCGACGTGACAGCATTAAGAAGTAGGGCCTTTAGGGAGTGGCTGTCTTGGGGTGGAGCCCTTCTGAATGGAATCCGTGGCTTTGTAAAACCATCTTCCACCATATTTATTCTTAGGCAGCATTGCATAGAAAGATTTATTTTTAATCAGTGAAAGTGTAATTTATTTTTCTAATTGTTTCCATAAATCAGGGATTAATTGACCTTGAAATCTGCCATTTCATAATCAGTTAATTATCTTCTGGGTTTTGATTTAGCAGTAATGCATTTGATGACATGTTGGATGGGAAAGTAAATTTGAGAGAATATGTTGAAAATAATTAAGATTGGGACCAGCAGATGGCATAATGGCTACATTGCTGGACTCCCATGTAGTTGACCACAGTTTGCGTCCCGGACCTGGTGGCTTAAACTCACGCCAGGCGCGTGTGCGTGCGAGCCCAAGATCCCAAGAGGAGAATGGAGGAGAAGAGATTGCGGCGTGGCCATCCCCCCTGGGGGGTGATTTCTCGCTTTCTGTCTCTCTCTGTCTTTCTGGCAAGTGCATGCACACTATAGCAAAAACATCTCCAAAAAAAAAAAAGAAGAGAATTAAGATGGGGCCAACCTGTGACATGGTGGTTAAAGCATCTGAATTTCATTTCCTTTTTCTCGTTTTTCAAAGAGGTTTTTGCTCTAGGGTGTATGTGCTTGCCCGAGAGATGGAGAGACAGAGAGACAGAAAGCGACAAATCATCCTCCAGGCGTGAGGGCCACGCTTCAGTCCTTTCTCCTCCATTCTCCTCTCGGGATTTTGGGCATGCACGTACATGTGCCCGGCATGAGTTTTAAGCAGCCGGGTCCAGGACTACCTGGGAGTGCAGCGATGTAACTATTATGCCATCTGCTGGTCCCAGAGCATCCAATTTCACATGGCCAGTGTATGGATCAAGTCCTGGACCTGGTGGCACGCTGGGTGTGTGTGCATGCATGCCCAGATCCTGAAAGGAGAGGGGATGGCGGTTGCAGGATGTACACCCAGGCAGCACGCACCTGAGTGAGCTGCGGTAGGGCCCTCCAGGGATCGCCCACACCGTCCAAGGACCCCGTGGGACAGGCCCGTTCTCACTTTCTCTCTCCCTGGCAAGGGTATGCCCTCTGGCAAAAACTGAACAAGCAAAAAAAAGATGAATTATCGTGAAACACTTTTTATATCTATCACAAATTAGTTATAACATTTCATTATTACCCAATGAAAATAAATATATCGCTGAATATTTGGAAATTGAGAGGGAGAACCGGAACAATGGCTACTTTCCACTCCCACGTCCCTGCCTTCTCTCCTGTCCTCTGGCACATGTCTGCACGGTTGCGCAGCCCTTAGTTCTTCCTGAACAATGTATCCTGCGCCGCCGGTCTGACTGCACGTGCTCCACGTTTACTTTTGTAAGTGAGAAACACAGTAAGAGAAGGAGAAAGAGTCAAGAAAAATTTTTTTAAATTTTCTTTCTTTCCCCTCCCTCCCTCCCTCCCTTCTTTCTTTCTTTCTTAGAGATTTTTGCTACAGGGTGCGTGGCAGAGAGATAGACAGCGAGAAATCAGCCCTCAGGGGTTGCCATGCTACAATCCCTCCTCTTCCATTCTCTTTTCAGGATTTTGGGAGTGCACGCACTTGCATCTGGTGTGAGTTGTTTTTATTTTTTGAGCGTTTTTTGCTATAGGGCGCGTGCGCTCACCAGAGAGGCAGAGACAAAGAGATAGAAACCGAGAAATCACACCCCCAGAGGGGATGGCCACGCCGCAATCCCTTCTCCTCCATTCTCCTCTCAGGATCTTGGGCACGCACGCACACGCGCCCAGCGTGAGTTTTAAGCCACTGGGTCCGGGACACGAACCGCGGTTGACTACGTGGGAGTCCAGCGACATAGCCATTATGCTAACTGCTGGTCCCGCATCTGGCGTGAGTTTTAAGCCGCTGGGTCCAGCACTCTATCCGTGGTTGACTATGTGGGAGTTCAGCATTGTAACCATTACGCCATCCGCTGGTCCCCAGAGAGAGGGGTTTGGGTGGGCTCTCACCTCTGTGATCCCTGGCCCAGCTTCCCGGCTAGCTAGGCTTATTGCCACACAGCCCCGACGGGCCGCGGTGACCAGCGCAGTGACCACCTCTTGAGTAGTGTGGGTGATCCCTTCAGAAATGCTTGGGGACAGCCAGACCACCTCAAGGGACCTCAGCTTCTGCCTCGGCGGGAGAGGCTGTGTCCTCGTGCTCTGGGTGAGGGAGGATGCCTTCCTTGGGTCAGGCTGCTGAGCTCTGCTCCCCTCTGAGCTCCCTCCGTCAGATGTGTACACGTGAGCGTGGCTGGCGTGTGCCCTTCGTGGCTTGCCCACGTGGGTGCTACCTCGCCGTACGTCCTCCTGCTGGGCAGACAGCCATAAGTGCCCAGGGATGGTGCCGATGATGTTGGGGCCTCACAGCCTTGACATCGCCACGGCTGTGGTTACAGCCACAGTCTCCACCAGGACCCTTGGTGGTTTGGGACATGGGTGCGCTGGGTTGTCAGAAGAGTTAGGACACAGCTTTGCGTAGAAAAATGTGACATGACTTTTCTGACTACCCAGTACTTCCCTACGCATAGTCACTAGGCCGTATTAGCATTACCTTTGGGCTGGGGCCGGCAGGTGGCGTGGTGGTTAAAGGCACTGGACTCCACACGACTGACCATGGTTCGGGTCCTGGACCCAGCAGCTTGCTTTCTCACTTTCCCTCTCTCTCTGATCAAATGGGGAAATAATGATATGACTACTAATAAATAAAGTTAAATAAAAATAATTCTTAAAAAAAACAAAACAAGAGCTACCTTTGGGTCTCGTTTTGGAAGATGGCCCC